GCCAACTTGGATGGATTGGTTGGGAAGGGACAAATGTCAAAGTTGGGGTTCCTATAGGGGGGGGAATCTTTGTGCTTATGGGGTTTCCTTGGTTGGGGACTCTCTTGGGACCTTCCCTCTCATCCCTCTCTTCCATCCCAACCTTTCTCTTGCTCCTCTAATTTTCCTTGTGAGATTCTTGAACTTTGATTGAACTTTTGAGATTGAGTTAAGTTCTCCTCCTACAGCTTACCCCTCAGTGCGTCGAAAGACATAGCGTCGCGAATACTTCATCAATCGACGTGATTCAAATTGAGAACGGTAGCTAAGATTGAGAGCTACAACATATCCGAGTTTCGCGACATTCCAACAGTTATTTTTGTGTCGACGTTGTTTCTTGTGAAGACGACTTTTCTGTCCAGAATTTGGATATATATTTTGAGTAATTCTAGCTCCTAAGTTCACCTAGACTCCGTCCTTAATCCTAACAAGTGGTATCAGAGCTGTATTAAGGACATTGAGAGGAGTCTACAGAAGTTTGAAGACCCTTCTAGACCCACCATGGCCTGTGGGTGTGCCTAAGTGGTGTTCTAAAGGTTGGATGTGTCTTCCGCTAAGGGGAAACTCTGCCGAAATTTCGTGGACGCTGATACTTGTGAAAATATCGGTGGAGCTGAGTGTGGACAGCAAAGGGGAGCTGAAATTCGTCATTTCTCAAGGAGAAGATGAATGAGAGAGGAGGAGATGCTAATGGAAGAGGAGCTGTAGCTGAGAAGACAAGTGAGCCGCCGCCATCAAAAGTTGAAGCTTTGGATGGCTCCAACTATGAGGAATGGAGCGGACGGATGAGGAGTGCCTTCAAACGCTACAAGCTACTGAAGATTGCTGTTGGGGAAGAGAAGATGCCGGAAGAAGGCGAAGCACGTGAACGGTGGATTGAGAAAAGCGCGGTGCTTTTCGACCTCATCCTTCAATCGGTCAACAAGGAGATGTTCGAGCACATCAAGGATCTTGTGGAAGCAGATGATTCGGGTCCAAGGGCGTGGAAACTACTACGCGATGTGATTCAGCCCAACACTCTCCCAATGGTGATCGTGCTCGAGAAGGAACTTGCTGCCATCTCCATGCGACCAGGGGACGATGTGAAGCCGGTCCTTGACAAGATCAAGGACACCTATGCAAGGATGGCAGCAGCGGGCAGCAGTGTATCTCAGCTGCAGCAGTGCACCAAGATCATCTCGGTGTTGGACAACTCTTGGGACAACCTCATCCCCACCCTCTACTCTCAGCAAGATCAATGGACACCTGAGTGGCTAAGGCAGCAGATTCTGCAGGAGGACTTCCGCAGACGCCATATGGGAGGCGGTGCTGCCACTAAGACTGCTGAGGGGTATGGAGCTGCAGGGCGCGGCAGAGGAAGAGGGGGTTGGAGAGGCCGAGGCCGTGGGAGGAGCTTTGGCAGAGGTAGAGGCCGAGGTGACTATAATGAGGGGCATGGGAGCTCCAGTGGCAGGGGGAGTACCAGAATGGAGGGCACCTGCTGGTACTGCAAGAAGGTCGGGCATCCTTGGTTCAAGTGCTTCAGCAGGCCAGAGGGATGGGCACCTCCAGGCATGAAGCCGCCCAGTGGTGAACGCGCACAAGGTGGCGCTGTGCAAGGCTCAGGTGCACAAGGTGAAGGTGCACAAGGTAATGCCTATCCTGGTTTGTTTCTTATGGTTGAGGATGTGCATGGGCATGAGGGTGATGTGGGATCTGTGGGAAAGGTTGTGATGCACCCTCTCACACACTGGGTGATTGATTCGGGTTGCACCAGTCACATGACCCCACGGGCAGATTTGCTTGATGAGGTAAAACCCCCTGGGAAGATCAAGTATGTGGCAGCAGCGTCAGGTGCTTTGCTCCCTGTCATTGGTGTTGGAAATGCCAAGGTTAAGGGAACTAATGGGGAGCTTGTGGGGCTTGGAAATGTTCTGCTAGTTGAAGGTTTGTCTGCTAACCTTCTCTCTGTGCGGCGACTGCAGAAGAGCAAGGCCGAAGTGACCTTTGGACCAACCAGCTGCCGTGCTAAGCTTGGGAAGAAGGTGCTGTGGAGTCTGGAAGAGGAGACCAGCTGCATCAAGGACCTATGGCAGCTGCCCATCATCCCTTGGAATGGGAAGACTCCAACAACAGCAACGGCAGCAGCGGCAAAGGCAACAGCAGGAGGAGATGCAACTGCACCAACTGATGGGGTCCTGGAAGTAGTCAAGAAAGTGCACCAGCAGCAGACACATAGTGAGGTGCTTGCTGATGTGGATGCGAGTGCGGCATGGGCTAAGGCTTCATCAAGGAGTGGTGAGGCCGATTGGGAGACATGGCATGAGAGGCTGTGTCATGTGAACTTCCCTATGCTGCAGAAGTTGGTGAAGGATGGGAGCCTGAAGGGCTTGGAGGTGAAAGGGGGAGTGAAGGAGATTGGGAGCTGCCCTACATGCTTGGAGACCAAGTTCTCCAAGTTCCCATTCAACAGCACTACAGGACCAGCCAAGACCCCACTTGCACTTGTGCACATGGATGTGGTGGGGCCCACAAGAGCCCCTTCCCTCTCAGGCAGCCGCTATTTCTTGACAATTGTGGATGACCATTCTCGGGCAGTGTGGTTTTATCCTTTGAAGAGCAAGGGGGAGGTGGCAGCGGCTGTCCTTAAGGAGTGGATGCCTAGAGCTCAGAGGGAATGCGGACACAAGGTGAAGGTGATCCGCAGTGATAATGGTGGGGAGTTCATTGGAGCTGATTTTGAGGGGGAGTTGAAGAGGAAGGGGATCCAACATCAATTGACAGTGCCCTACAACCCGCAGCAGAATGGTGTGGCTGAGAGGTTCAACAGGACCCTGCAGGAGGGGGCACGCACTCTCCTTGGGCGTGCAGGGCTGCCTGATCCGTTTTGGGTGTCTGCACTGAGGCAGGTCGCCCTTGTGAAGAACAGGGTGCTGGCTACAGTTGGAGATAAGGAGTGGATCCCATATGTCAAGTGGTATGGGAGTGCTCCAGCTGTGAACATGCTGAGGGCATTTGGGTGCATGGTGGTGTTTCATGTGCCTAAGGAGAAAAGGGGGAAGTTGGAGGCTTCTGGAAGATGGGGTGTGCACTTGGGGATTGCAAAGGATCACAAGGGGTGGCTGCTATGGGACTTGACCACCCAGAAGTTGACAGTGTCAAGGGATGTGAAGTTTCTTGAGTCCCTGTACTACAAGGAATGGAAGTAGCAGCAACAGAAGCTTCCATCTACACCGCTCATTGTGGAGGCAGATGAGGTGCAGCAGCCTTCAAGACAGGTGGAGGTTGCAGTGTCTGAGGAGGAGATGTCTGGGGTGACTGAGGAAGGGGGAGCAGCTGAAGTAGAGCAGCAGCAGCAGCAGCAGCATGAGTCTCCACCTCGAGTACCACACCCGCCTGAGCGTCCTAGGAGGGATGTGCGCCCTCCGGTGAGGCTGACCTATGGGGGAAGAGGCAAGCCGAATGTGGTGCAGGCTGGGAGTGTGGTTGAGCAGATTGAGGAAGATGAGATTGCATTATGCTATTGGGCTGCAATTCCTCAACCCAAGGTACTGACGCTAGCTTCAACTCAGTGAAAGCGGATGGCACCAGCATTGGGGGATATGTGTGCTTGCTAGGAGGTGGTGCTGTGAGCTGGCGCAGCAAGAAGCAGAATGAGGTGGGATTGTCTTCATGTGAGACTGAGTACATGGCCTTACACCACGGGGCCAAGGAAGTGGTGTGGCTGAGGCGTTTGTTGGAGGAGTTGGGAGTTGGTCAGGAGAAGCCGACAGTTGTGTTTTGTGACAATGAGTCCGCTGTGAAGCTCGCCAAGAATGCTTGTCTGCATGGGCTGACAAAACACATAAGGCCTAAGTGGCATTGGGTGAGAAGACTCCTTGATAAGGAGGTGCGGCTGGAGATAGTGAAGACCCATCAGCAGGCAGCAGATATTTTCACTAAGCGTCTGGCGGAGGCGGATCATTGGAAGGGCATGAAGCTTGCTGGGATGAGTGTGCATTGAGTATGCATGCTTGAGATGTTGGTATGGTGGGTGATGGTTGGCAGCCAGAGGGGGAGATTGTTGTGTGATGTCATCATATGTTATCACATTCTGTCTGCCTCCCATCCCTTGTTTCAATTCGCACGTATGGTGTGACTGTGTGTGAAAGAATTTGTGTGGTGTGTGTTCTGGAGTTTGGGAATGTGTTTTGTGTTATTTTGTTTGAGCAGGTATTTGTGATGATAGATCTTGAGAAGATCTTTCCGACACAACAAGAATCGCTTCAATCGGAGCAAGAACGCGAAAGCTATGAAGATTCAAAGTTCATGAGCTTGCGTTACAATTGCGGCGGTTACAAAGTGAAGTTGTGGGGTGACTCAATATGGAGTTGGGACCTTTGGGGTTGGGAAATTCGTCACTCTACTGTAACAGCTGCAAATTGGTTGGGAACAACCAAGCTAGGTTGGCAAGGGTGGCCAACTTGGATGGATTGGTTGGGAAGGGACAAATGTCAAAGTTGGGGTTCCTATAGGGGGGGGAATCTTTGTGCTTATGGGGTTTCCTTGGTTGGGGACTCTCTTGGGACCTTCCCTCTCATCCCTCTCTTCCATCCCAACCTTTTTCTTGCTCCTCTAATTTTCCTTGTGAGATTCTTGAGCTTTGATTGAACTTTTGAGATTGAGTTAAGTTCTCCTCCTACAGCTTACCCCTCAGTGCGTCGAAAGACATAGCGTCGCGAATACTTCATCAATCGACGTGATTCAAATTGAGAACGGTAGCTAAGATTGAGAGCTACAACATATCCGAGTTTCGCGATATTCCAACAGTTATTTTTGTGTCGACGTCGTTTCTTGTGAAGACGACTTTTCTGTCCAGAATTTGGATATATATTTTGAGTAATTCTAGCTCCTAAGTTCACCTAGACTCCGTCCTTAATCCTAACACTCTCAAGGGTGTACACGCTCCTGCAACAGCGGCGGTGGCTGTGGTTTTGGAGCGGCAAATGGCGGCCCTTCGAATTGACGAAGGCGAACCGGTGGAGGACGGAGTGCAGAAATTCTTCGACTTGTTGACACGGCTTGAAGGAGCTGACCTGAACTACAGTGACCTTCAAAAGAAGACCAAGCTGCTGGCCTTGCTTCCGGACTCATGGTCCTCGCTCATCATCAACCTAAATCGAGATCTGCCCCGCCTCTCGCTCGAAGATGTGAAGCGGGATATCTTACAAGAAGATTTCCGTCGTCGTGAATTGGCGGGTACCGATGGTGCCGGAGTTGCAAGCATGGGCCGTGGGCACGGCCGTGGAAGGGGCAGAGGGCGAGGAGGAAGATTTGGCAGCAGCAACTTCAATGGAGGCCGTGGTAATGGAGGATATGGCAGCAACAACAACAACAATGGCTACGGGCGTGGGCGCGGTCGATTTGATGGCGAATGCCACTTTTGCCACAAGACCGGCCACATGTGGAGAGATTGCTACAGATTGCCTGATGGATGGACCCCTTCTTAAGGCCAAGAGGGCAGAGGAGCAAGGGGAGGAAGAGGCAGAGGTCGTGGAGGCCGTGGTGGTCGTGGAAGCGAAGCGGCATGCATGAAAGGTGGAGACTACGAGACGGGCCCGAGTGAAGATTGATACCCGGGCCAATTCTTCTTTGTCTCCACGCAAGCGGCAGCTGCAGCAGGAGGTGTGGAAGGCTTTGAGGAGCCAGCTACTGTGGGAAAGGTCACCCTTCACTCTCTGGACTTTTGGGTGATCGATAGCGGCGCCACCTATAGCATGACACCTCGTGCGGACTTGCTCACCGAACTCGAACCGTCGCCGGTCAAGCATGTTACATCGGCTTTGGGGCAGCGAGCAGAGGTGAAAGGCATGGGCAAGGCCATGTTCAAGGGTGCTGATGGGAAGATGGTGGGCCTCAAGAACGTGCTTTTGGTGCCCAACCTAGCAGCCAACCTGATTTCCGTTCGGCGTTTGCAAAAGGCCGGCATGGACACATCTTCCAAGGGATCCAAAACTTATACCGCGCGGCTTGGTGAGCGGAAGCTTTGGGACCTTCATGAGGACAGGGACATCTACAATGAAATGTGGCAAATCCCAGTGGTCCCCATGCCTAAGGAGAGGCAAGTGGCAGCAAGCATCAGCACCAAGAGTGAAGGGGGTGGTGGCGGTGATCACGGAAAGCAAAGTGACACCAAGAGTGACTCGAACGAGTGCAATCTTGGAGAGACCAGCAAGGCATGTGAATCCAAGGAGAGTGGTGCAGCAGCCAAAGGTGGTGGAAATGAGGAGGAGAATCATAAGATCAGCAAAGCAGCAGCGGCGAAGGAGAAAGGAGAGAGCTTGTGGGGCACAATTGCGAGTGCCGCTTTCTCCAACCCGACCTCCGCTACGGGAGAGTGTGATTGGCTGACCTTGCATCGGCGAATGGGGCATGTGGCATTGCCCATTTTGCAGCAGATAGTCAAGCAAGACATGGTTAGTGGGATACGTGTCAAGGGGGAGCCCAATGAGGTGCTTGGATGTCCAACATGCAGGTATGCGAAGCGAAGCAAAGCGAAGCAAAGCAAAGGAAAGCTAAGCGAAGCGAAGTTAAGGGAAGCGAACCGAAGATAAGGGAAGCGAAGCGAAGCGAAGCGAAGCGAAGCGAAGCGAAGCTAAGCGAAGCAAAGCGAAGCTAGGCGAAGCGAAGTGAAGCTAGGCGAAGCTAAGCAAAGCAAAGCGAAGCTAAGCGAAGCTAAGCGAAGCTAAGCGAAACTAAGCGAAGCAAAGCTTAGCTAAGCTAAGCGAAGCGAAGTGAAGCTAAGGGAAGCGAACTGAAGCGAAGGGAAGCGAAGCGAAGCTAAGCTAAGCGCAGCTATGCGAAGCGAAGCAAGGCTAAGCGAAGCTAAAAAGCGAACGGATGCTAAGGAAAGCGAAGCGAAGCGAAGCTAAGCGAAGCAAAGCAAAGCTAAGCGAAGCTAAGCGAATCTAAGCGTAGCTAAGCGAAGCGAAGCGAAGCTAAGCGAAGCTAAGCGAAGAGAAGCGAAGCAAGCCAGGCAATGCGAAGCTAAGCGAAGCAAAGTAAAGTTAAGGGAAGCGAAGCGAAGCAAAGCGAAGCGAAGCTCAGCGAAGCGAAGGGAAGCTAAGCGAAGCTAAGCAAAGCTAAGCGAAGCTAAGCGAAGCTAAGCGAAGCGAAGCGAAGAGAAGCAAAGAGAAGCGTAGCGAAGAGAAGCGAAGCAAAGAGAAGCAAGACGAAGCTAAGTGCAGCTATGCAAAGCGAAGCGAAGCTAAGCGAAGCTAAGCGAAGCGAAGTGAAGCTAAGGGAAGCAAACCGAAGCTAAGGGAAGCGAAGCTAAGCGAAGCAACGCGAAGCGAAGCGAAGCGAAGCTAAGCAAAGCGAAGCGAAGCGAAGCGAAGCGAAGCGAAGCTAAGCGAAGCGAAGCAAAGCGAAGCGAATCTAAGCAAAGCTAAGCGAAGCAATGCGAAGCGAAGCGAAGCTAAGCAAAGCTAAGCAAAGCTAAGCGAAGCTAAGCGAAGAGAAGCGAAGCAAAGCCAAGCGAAGCTAAACGAAGCTAAGCGAAGCGAAGCGAAGCTAAGCATAGCGAAGCGAAGCGAACTGAAGCTAAGGGAAGCGAACCGAAGCTAAGGGAAGCGAAGCGAAGTGAAGCAAAGCGAAGCGAAGCTAAGCAAAGCAAAGCAAAGCTAAGCGAAGCTAAGCGAAACTAAGCGAAGCTAAGCGAATCTAAGCGAAGCTAAGCAAAGCGAAGCTAAGCGAAACTAAGCTAAGCTAACCGAAGCTAAGTGAAGCTAAGCGAAGCGAAGCGAAGCAAAGCTTTGCGAAGCAAAGTGAAGCTAAGGGGAACTGAAGCTTAGGGAAGCGAAGCGAAGCTAAGCTAAGCGCAGCTAAGAGAAGCGAACGGAAGCTAAGGAAAGCGAAGCGAAGCGAAGCTAAGCGAAGCGAAGCAAAGCTAAGCGAAGCTAAGCGAATCTAAGCGTAGCTAAGCGAAGCGAAGCGAAGAGAAGCGAAGAGAAGCGAAGCGAAGCCAAGCAAAGCTGAGCGAAGCTAAGAGAAGCAAAGCCAAGTGAAGCTAAACGAAGCTAAGCGAAGCTAAGCGAAGCGAAGCGAAGCTAAGCGAAGCGAAGCGAAGCTAAGCAAAGGGAAGCTAAGCGATGCAAAGCGAAGTTAAGCGAAGCTAAGCGAAGCGAAGCTAAGCGAAGCTAAGCAAAGCTATGCGAAGCTAAGCGATGCTAAGCGAAGCGAAGCGAAGAAAAGCGAAGAGAGGCAAAGCGAAGCTAAGCGAAGCGTAGCTAAGCAAAGCTAAGAGAAGCGAAGCGAAGCGAAGCAAAGCGAAGGGAAGCGAAGCTAAGCGAAGCGAAGCATAGAGAAGCAAAGCGAAAAGAAGCGAAGCTAAGAAAAGCAAAGCAAAGCTAAGCGCAGGTATGCGAAGCGAAGCGTAGCTAAGCGAAGCGAAGCTAAGCGAAGCAAAGCGAAGCTAAGCGAAGCAAAGCTAAGGGAAGCGAAGCGAAGCTAAGCGAAGCAAAGCAAATCTAAGCGCAGGTATGCGAAGCGAAGCAAAGCGAAGCAAAGCAAAGGAAAGCTAAGCGAAGCGAAGTGAAGGGAAGCGAACCGAAGCTAAGGGAAGCGAAGCAAAGGGATGCGAAGCGAAGCTAAGCGAAGCAAAGCGAAGCTAGGCGAAGCGAAGTGAAGCTAGGCGAAGCTACGCAAAGCAAAGCGAAGCTAAGCGAAGCTAAGCGAAGCTAAGCGAAACTAAGCGAAGCTAAGCGAATCTAAGCGAAGCTAAGCGAAGCGAAGCTAAGCGAAGCTAAGCGAAACTAAGCTAAGCTAATCGAAGCTAAGCGAAGCTAAGCGAAGCGAAGCGAAGCAAAGCTTAGCTAAGCTAAGCGAAGCGAAGTGAAGCTAAGGGAAGCGAACTGAAGTGAAGGGAAGCGAAGCGAAGCTAAGCTAAGCGCAGCTATGCGAAGCGAAGCAAGGCTGAGCGAAGCTAAGAGAAGCGAACGGATGCTAAGGAAAGCGAAGCTAAGCGAAGCGAAGCAAAGCTAAGCGAAGGTAAGCGAATCTAAGCGTAGCTAAGCGAAGCGAAGCGAAGCGAAGCGAAGCGAAGCGAAGCGAAGCTAAGCGAAGCTAAGTGAAGAGAAGCGAAGCTAAGCGAAGCGAAGAGAAGCGAAGAGAAGCGTAGCGAAGAGAAGCAAAGCTAAGAGAAGCAAAACGAAGCTAAGCGCAGCTATGCGAAGCGAAGCGAAGCTAAGCGAAGCGAACTGAAGCTAAGGGAAGCAAACCGAAGCTAAGGGAAGCGAAGCTAAGTGAAGCAAAGCGAAGCTAAGCGAAGCAAAGCGAAGCTAAGCAAATCGAAGCGAAGCTAAGCGAAGCGAAGGAAAGCTAAGCGAAGCGAAGCGAAGCTAAGCGAAGCAAAGCGAAGCGAAGCAAAGCTAAGAAAAGCTAAGCAAATCTAAGCGAAGAGAAGCAAAGCAAAGCCAAGCGAATCTAAACGAACCTAAGCGAAGCGAAGGGAAGCTTAGCGAAGCGAAGCGAAGCGAAGCGAAGCTAAGCAAAGCGAAGCTAAGCAAAGCAAAGCAAAGTTAAGCGAAGCTAAGCAAAGCAAAGCGAAGCTATGCGAAGCGAAGCGAAGCAAAGCTAAGCGATGCTAAGCGAAGCGAAGCGAAGAGAAGCGAAGAGAGGCAAAGGGAAGCTAAGCGAAGCGTAGCTAAGCGAAGCTAAGAGAAGCGAAGCTAAGCGAAGCGAAGCAAAGCGAAGCGAAGCGAAGCGAAGCGAAGCGAAGCAAAGCGAAGCGAAGCGAAGCAAAGAGAAGCAAAGAGAGGCAAAGCGAAGCTTAGCGAAGCGAAGCTAAGCGAAGCTAAGAGAAGCGAAGCGAAGCGAAGCGAAGCGAAGCAAAGCGAAGCTAAGCGAAGAGAACCGAAGAGAAGGGAAGCGAAGCAAAGCGAAGCAAAGCCAATCGAAGGGAAGCTTAGTGAAGCGAAGCGAAGAGAAGCATAGAGAAGCGAAGCGAAAAGAAGCGAAGCTAAGAAAAGCAAAGCAAAGCTAAGCGCAGGTATGCGAAGCGAAGCGAAGCTAAGAGAAGCTAAGCGAAGCGAAGCGAAGCAAAGGGAAGCGAAGCGAAGCTAAGGGAAGCGAAGTGAAGCTAAGCGAAGCGAAGCGAAGCTAGGCGAAGAGAAGCGAGGCTAAGCGAAGCGAAGCGAAGCTAAGGGAAGCAAAGCGAGGCTAAGCGAAGCGAAGCGAAGCTAAGCGAAGCAAAGCGAAGAGAAGCGAAAAGAAGCGAACCGAAGCTAAGAGAAGCGAAGCGAAGATATGCGAAGCGAAGCGAAGCTACGCGAAGCAAAGCAAAGCTAAGCAAAGCTAAGCGAAGTGAATTTAAGCTAAGCTATGCGAAGCGAAGTGAAGCTAAGCCAAGTGAAGCGAAGCTAAGCGAAGCGAAGTGAAGCGAAGCGAAGCTAAGCGAAGCGAAGCGAAGCTAAGCGATGCTAAGCGAAGCTAGGCGATGCTAAGCGAAGCGAAGCGAAGAGAAGCGAAGAGAAGCAAAGCGAAGCTATGCGAAGTGAAGCGAAGCTAAGCGAAGCTGTTAGAAGCGAAGCGAAGCTAAGAGAAGCTCAGCGAACCTAAGCGAAGCGAAGCGAAGCTAGGCGAAGCGAGGCTAAGCGAAGCGAACAGGAAGCTAAGCGAAGTGAAGCGAAGCTAAGTGAAGCAAAGCGAAGAGAAGCCTATTGTGACTATAACAGAAGCGAAGCTAAGCGAAGCGAACCTTAGCGAAGCGAAGCAAAATGAAGCGAAGAGAAGCGAAACGAAGCTAAGGGAAGCGAAGCTAAGTGAAGCGAAGCAAAGCGAAGCTAAGAGAAGCGAAGCGAAGCTATGCAAAGCGAAGCGAAGCAGAGCGAAGCTAAGAAAAGCTAGGCAAAGCTAAGCGAAGCGAAGCGAAGCTCAGCGAAGCAAAGCCAAGTTACGCTAAGCGAAGCCAAGCTTTGCTAAGCAAAGCGAAGCTAAGTGAAGCAAAGCAAAGCTTAGTGAAGCGAAGCGAAGATAAGCGAAGCGAAACCAAGCGAACCAAAGCAAAGCGAAGCGAAGCTATGCGAAGCGAAGCTAAGCGAAGCGAAGCGAAGATAAGCGAAGCCAAGCGAAGCCAAGCAAAGCTAAGGGAAGCGAAGCAAAGCTAAGCGAAGCGAATTTAAGAGAAGCGAAGCTAAGCAAAGCGAAGCTAAGAGAAGCGAAGCGAAGCTAAGCGAAGCGAAGCTAAGCAAAGTTAAGAGAAGCAAAGCGAAGCCAAGCGAAGCGAAGCTAAGCGAGGCCAAGCGAAGCCAAGCGAAGATAAGCGAAGCTAGGCAAAGCTAAGCAAAAAGAAGCGAAGCTAAGCGAAGCTAAGGGAAGCAAAGC